TTGTCAATGGGCCATTAAGGCCTGGGCCAGTCCATTCTACATAACAAAGATCTACCTCCTTCAGGCATAGCCATTTAATTGCCCTTCATTGCATCACCCAACAAGATTAAACCAAACGTAGCACACAGGCAACCTACAAAGCTAGTCATGACCTCTGACAGCAACCAATCAGGATACTCTTCCTGTGCCCCAGGAAGTTCAAAGCCAGAGAGGGTATAAAACCCAGGGACTCTCAGCATCTCTTCCCATTTTTTCACCCAAGATCTCCAAGGCATATGATCCTGTTCATCAATAAACCTTCTTTCCAAGCATCTTCCATGAATCCAGTGTCTTTTTCCCCACTTGGAACTGAACCCAGAAGGGTATTTTTTCCAACATCTCCTTATCCCCATAAGATGTAATGTAGACATATGGGTTCAATGGCAGAGAAGCTTCTCAAACTAAGCCATACAATATGGCAACCGTACACTATGCTTAAAACTACAGTGGCTGGAGCAAGCTAATTGCCACTTAAGACTCAAGTTCTATGAAGCGATGTTTAATTTTAAGAAGTGTAGACTAGGAGATCCTGGGAGTGGAAATCCACACAACTTAAAGTTGTTGAAGTTGAGAAACCTTAGTATAAAGCAATCATCATCATATGATTTGCTTGTTTTGAGGGGAATTATGGGAAGATGGCTGCTGAGTGTCAGCCTTTTTACCGAGCTTTGCTTTGACTTAAGAGTGTCAAACGTGCACAGTGATTTGGTACCATGGCCGATATATTAATTGCAATTATTGTAGATGGCAAATCATTGATGGTCTGGGAATTGGAATATACTACTTCTGTCCTCCTGGTGATCTTTCGTGTTGAAAAGTCCAGCATTCCAACCTGCGGGTGGACTTGGGGATTTGGCAATCAACAACCATGCGAGGTTACTCCACTTAGTTACAATGTGCTAGTATGCCATCTAAAAATGAGCTAGGACATCTTAACTATTAAATCTAGAGTGCCTACCGGGAAATCAATAAAGAGAATTAGCTTTCTGCAGGTGAATCACACTTCTAAGAACAATTCAGCCAGGACAAAAGCTATATTTGATTTAACGAATTTCAACAAAATTGAATGCAGCTAATAGGTTCACACACATGGATTGGTTGCATTGCAAGAGGTAATTCATTGGCTATTATTGGAAGACTCCTGGGGATCCTACACAAAGGTTTGGAAATGTGTCTCTGGGGTTTAAAATTATTATCAGGTGTGTTAGAGCTATTGAGCAATGACCATTTCAAACTACTGAAGAATGTTTTTAAAATATTTAACTTCTGGGATTCATAAAGAAATCTAGAGTGGCTCTATTTTTCCCAATCTCTGGCCCTTCCTCCTTCTCCTTTTTCTTCTCTTCTTCCTTCACCATCTCACTTAAGCCCCCTTTAGGACTGTCAGTTGCTGTCCCTGGCTCAATTGCTCCCTCTACTGAGTGAAGCTAGAAATATTCTGAGCACAGTACAGTTGAGATTAATTTTGCAGGCTCAAAAATAGGTTATTTCATTAAAAAGTCTTTCCCAGGAGTTCTTGCTCTTTGAGACCCGAATTGTAGAACCAAGGCAAGCTTTATAATTAAACAAAAGTAAATAAATATATTATTCCATATCCATTCTTTTTTTGTTTTGCAATTTCTTTTTTATTTTTATTTCTCATAAACATATTTAAGTCATATTTCAATATATTTAAGAGTCTCTTATCCATCATTAATCATTCACCATTCATCTCATCCTTTAACTTTCGTTTTTATTTGTTCGGGGCTGCTCTTTTACCATTTCTTCTTCTTTGTTTGTACCACAATCTTTCCTCTTCTTCTTCCCTCCTCTTTCTTCTTCTGTCCCTTTCTACTTTCTTCATTCCTCCTCTCCTCCCCTTCTACTTCCCCTCCCCTTCCCCCGCTCCTCTCTTCTTCCTTCCTTTCTAACCCTCTCTCCTACTCTTCTTTCCCCTCCCATTTCTTCCTGTGTTTCTTCTTGTGTTGTTGAATAAATCACAATTAGAAGAGGGGTGGGTTCCACTTACCTTTACTACCGGTTCCCAATGCTTCACATGCATGCACTTCTGCACATGCGCAGATCATCAGTGATGATGTCGGGATGGGTGGGCGGAGCCTTCACCGCCATTACTACCGGTTCTCAAGAACCGGACCGAACCGTGAGCAACCCACCACTGAATTAGAGGTTTTATATGTGATAAACCATGGTTTATGAGACAACAATGGCTGGATTAACATATTATGCTAAACCCCAAATCAAATAAACATAGAGGTTTTGTGTGAACAGAGTTTGTCTTCCTGATGATAGTTATCCCTTCTTGCTTTGCATCATCTGCAAATTGTATAACATCCCCTCTCCCAAATCATTTATTAAAAATGTTGGTGAATGCAGGGCAAGTTCTCCAAATAGATGCAGCTCTGGTGTCACCACGAGTCCATTCACATTTTTCCAACCTGTCAAAAACAATGTGCAACCATAACAAATGCTTTGCTTAAATTACATTGTATGGTTTTGACACAAAATTCACGCTTACGTCAGCTCTATTGACCAATGTATCAGTTTATACTGTGGGAAGTAAAAACAGGGGTCCTCAAACTTTTTAAACAGGGGGCCAATTCACAGTCCCTCAGACTGTTGAGGGGACCGGACCGGCTGGGTGGTCGTGGCTAGGTGGTCATGTGACTGGGTGGGCGTGGCTAGGCCATGTGACTAGATGGGTGTGGCCAATTTAACAGTCCATTAAACAACACACACAAATTAAATTCTAATTTGTTTTGCTTTTGGAAGTGTTTTATTTGCTTTTGTTTGCATGTTGCTCTTTTGGTTGACTTTTCTTTCTACTAGATCGCTTTTTTCAGTTATATAGGAGTCATAGTGCTCCACTTCAGGAAACTCAGTTTTGCAGCAATTCTTCTTAGCCCCAAGAAGCCCTCTCTCTCTCTCTCTCTCTCTCTCTCTCCCTCTCTCTCTCTCTCTCTCTCTCTCTTTCTCTGTCTATCTTCTGGAGGTGGGGGAGGTGAAAAACAGGCACATTTTTGGCTTCCCGTGGCATCCGTGCACCCCATTTTTCATCTCCCCCGCCTTGAGAAGCATTCTGCAGGCCAAAATTGTTGGCCTTACCTTTCAGTTCCAGCCCACGGGGCTCGCAAAAGTAAGTCCTGCAATCGGCCAAAGGGTGGGCAGGGCAATGTGGCAGCCTCGTGGTCCTGCACGGGCCAAATTAATGGCTTCAGCTGGCCACATGCGGCCCTCGGGCCATAGTTTGAGGACCCTTGCCCTAAAAGGACAGTGCCAGAAACCTCACAGCACCAGAAACCTCAGAAAATAGTGCCAAGAGACTCAAGCCAGCCCTTTCCCCTTTAAGAAAACCCAAGGCAAAAGCACCATGTGAAAGGAACACTTAAGTAGAGCCATTAAGATAAGGGAAATCAGGCTAAAAATAAGCTCTCCAAGGTAAACCGAAACTCCCTTTTTCCTGCCTCCCTGACAGGATTAACTCCTAGGACAGGAAAAACAAAAGATCTGGGACCAAGATTAACACATCAAAACCCAACAAGCTGCAGGAGCTTCAAAGGGGAATTAAGCATAAAAGGTTCAGTCACAGCAAGTTTGCTTGTAAACCAGGAACCGTCAAGCTGCCTGAATTAAACAATCCCTTTTCTGGCAGCTGGCTTCAGTGTCTATTTCTTCTCAACATCGGTGACTGCTTCCCAGCTGGAAACGAACCAGGGAAATTTCTTCCAACACTACATGTTCATAATCCTTTCCTCTTAATAATCTGTTCTAGAATTTTACCTGGTATATGGCAGAGGTGAAATCCAGCAGGTTCTGGAGATCTGGTAGCAGAAATTTTGAGTAGTTCAGAGAACCGGTAGTGGAAATTTTGAGTGGTTTGGAGAATTGGCAAATACCACCTCTGGCTGGTCCCAGAGTGGGGTGGGAATGGAGATTTTGCAGTATCCTTCCCCTGGAGTGGGGTGGAAATGGAGATTTTGCAATATCCTTCCCCCAGGAGTAGGGAGGGAATGGGGATTTTGCAGTGTCCTTCCCCTGGAGTAGGGTGGGAATGGAGATTTTGCAGCATCCTTCCCCTGCCATGCACACCAAGCCACACCATGCCCACCAAGCCACGCCTACAGAACCGGTAGCTTAAAAAAATTGAATTTCACCACTGGTATATGGAAATGTTTGATTTGCAGCTTGAGGGCTCCTTGGTGCTCTCTGAGCTTGGTTGTTTTCTTGCAGAAATTTCGTTACCCAAACTAGGTAACACTGACAATGTTACCTAGTTTGGGGTAATGAAACTTCTGCAAGAAGCCAACCAAGCTCGGAGAGTACCAAGGACCCCTTCATTTCAATCCCAAACTACAAATATTCTCCTTCATTAATTCACAGCTTGTTCCTCTTCCTGAAGATGGCAATATTTCTCTCTGCTCTCCTGGAGCTCATATGTTCTCTAAGAGTTTGCAAAGGCTCCAAGTCAGCTGCTCCAAGTCAGCTACTCAAGTCCTCAGCACCCTGGAGTATAAATTATCTGCCCCCGGAGTCTTACAGTCTAAACAACCTGGACTTACAATCTTAGCATCGGTTCCATTTGTCCCCAGCTGGAAACAATTGCTCTTGTAAGAGAAGATGATGGCAAATTATATGTTGATTCCCTCCATGGCTGATTGCATTTTCACATTTGAGTGTTTGAACTCTGAAACATTAACCTTCATGGCACAATGGCTTTGTTAACCATGAGAAATCATCCTGGTAAATTAATTTGCAAGTTTATACATTTTTACCTGGAATCAGTCTTTCTTTTTCAAGCCAATAACTACAAACTGATTAGGCAGTGAAACTCAGAATTCTGAACCAGTCTTGGCATTATTGCTTGAACAAATTCATCTTAATACGAATGATTCTGCAACAGAGGGTTAAATCAAACCCCTTGGCTTCTTCCCATTTTTTTTTTAAAAAAAGGACAAACCAAAGACTCCAAGTCAGCATTTGTGTTTATTTTGGCTCCTTTTTATAAATGGGCACAACACAGGAGTAATTAAAAAAAAAAAATAGACATTACCATTACAATGTTACATTGGCAAAAAAAAAAATTTTTTTAATAATTTTTAAGTTTTGGCCATAGACTCTGGTCAAAAACAATTAAACATGTGTGGTTCTTTTTAAAAGAAATTTGTCATCCATTTTCCTTTTTTTTTTTTTAAACAGACACTAAATAGCCATTTTGATACTAATCTCTAGAAGTTATATACATTCTTGTTTTATTTTAAGACATTTTACCCTTTAAAATATTTACACGCTTTGCTCCCCGGAGTTAATAGCACAGAATATCATTTGAGCTATTTTATCTAAATTCTGATGATATTTTTCACTGCCATTTCAATTCTTCTTGAGAGTTAATTGGGGAGATGGAACGTCTCAATGCTTTCTTTCTGAAATTTTATACACGTTTTGTTTCCTATTTACAAAACTGGTAGATTGGATTTTTCTTTTTTTTTTTTGTCGAGAGACACAACGGTGAAGTCACTGCAGCAAGCAAGCTGTTTTACTGATAAAAGGAAATTTTTTTTAGAAAAAAGTTGTATAAAACCGTGTATGAATATGGTGTTGTTTTTTTGCTTTTTTCTGATTGTCAGTTTTAAAGAAGCTATTTCTGATTTCTCGCTCACACAAAACACACGTCTAGATGAATCACAGAAAAATTATCTGCATCTAAACACACCTTAGTGGAGTACAAAGAATGCTGTTTCTAAAGCCATTTATCTCAGACTTCTACTCTGATTAAGTAGCAACTGTCCAGATATATTTTTTCAGCCCTACCTTGGAGTTACTAATCATTAAACTTGAAGCTTTTTATCTACAAGGCAAGGGGTTCTGCAACTGGGCTATGATTCTTCCAAAGCACAGTCCTCAAACCGGTCTAGAATGCTGAACATACTGTATTTTTCAGAGTATAAGATGCACCTTAGTTTTTGGGGAGGAAAATAAGAAAAAAGCTGATTGGCAGGTGGATCGGCCTCCGGAATACCTCCAATCAGCTGTTCCCAGAGGTGAATTTTAACAACAGGTTCCTTGGTTGTGAGCTCTGTGCCTTGCTTTTATTTTTATTTTTATTTTTTTGCCTCTGAAACTTCTGAAACTCTGTTTCAGAAAAAGCTTTTTTTCCTGCCTCTGAAAGCCTCCGAAACAGAGCTTCGGAAAAAAAGCCTCTGAAAGGCTTTTTTTTTTTTCTGAAGCTCTGTTTTGGAAACTTTTTTTCTGAAGCTTCCTTTCAGAGGCTTTTTTTTAAAGCTCTGTTTGGAGGCTTTTTTTTCTGAAGCTTCATTTCTGAGGCTTTTTTTCCAAAGCTCTGTTTGGAGGCTTTTTTTCTGAAGCTTCATTTCTGAAGCTTTTTTCAGCCTCTGAAACCTCCGTTTGAGAAACCGGGCAGAGCTACATTCGGAGTATAAGACGCACCCAGATTTTCACCCTCTTTTTTGGGGGGGAAAGGTGTATCTTATACTCTGAAAAATACGGTAATTAGAAAAGAACTAAACTCACAACTATATCATTGAACTTGAAGACACCACTAAAGAGAAATGGCAATTTGTTCAAAGGTGAGAGTTTGTAAGGCTTTCTCTTCAAAATAAATCTTTCACCAGAGTGATTGGCTGGGTCCCTTGTGCTCATCCTGACATGAGTAAGATTTAAGGCAGTTCATTCTGAAAGATTTCTCGGTGGCATGTTCAGGGCAAGGGATGACGGCAAGACAAGCTCCTTTTGAAGAGCTCTGGGAAGGAGGGAGGAACATTTTTGTTACTATAGTAGTATTTCTGCAGAAGGATATCATTTCTTGCCTTGTTAGCCTCACCTTCCAAAATACTTAGCCTTCAAGACACAAAATTAAGCCTCAACGCAGTTGAATGTTTGGTTGCTCAAGCCCAGAGGCAAAGAACTGGTGCTATCCAGATGTCAGTCCCAGCATCTCACATTATTCCCCATGCTAGATGAGGCTGGTGAGGTGTAGCAACATCTGGAGGACCATAAGGTTTCCATCTCTTACCTGGTTCATCATCACCTCTTAGAATTGCCAGCCTTTGGCTATCTTGTTTGAAAACAGAATACAGAGTTGTATTCTGCTCCACATCTAGAAGGTATCAAACTAGAGAAAGTGTTCTAGAACTTAAGAGCCTCAATCCTATATTTCTGTTACCTGGTGATATCACAGATTGGTGTTTCTCAATCTCAGCCATTTTAAGATGTGTGGACTTCAACAGCCATGCCTGACTGGGGAATTCCAGGAGTCAAAGTTCACACATCTTATAATGGCTGAGATTGAGAAACACTGCCATTGCAGTGTTTCCTACCATCCAGGAAAACACAGAAGCTTTTTTTTTGAGGTTGAGAAGCAAAGACAGCCAGAAACATTACAGAATGGGACAACTTCCCACAGCCAACTCACCACGGCCAACGTGCTGTGGGACAACTTGCCATGGCCAACTTTACCGCTGGACAATTCGCCACAGGACAATTTAACAATTCAACTTAATTCAAAATAAATAAAAAAATAGTTTTTATTTTTGTCATTCACATTTCATTCAGTCCCTCCTTTTGCATCCTTTCTTTCATTATTCTAATCCACCTTTTCTTTGACATTAGTGTAACTCTTGTCCCACAACGAACTGTCCCGTGAAAAGTTGGTCATGGCAAGTTGTCATAGACCCAAAACATTACTGTTTGATAGGAAATCTGGAATTGGAAATGTGTGGCTTCATCCCTCTATAAGTGGGAGGCTTCAGACAACTACGTGTTTGCTGACTCAAAGCTCCCCAACTTGGTGACTACAGATATATTGGGATGTGAATGCCATAATTTATAGTCATGAAGTGTCTCTACTTGGGAATGATGTATTATATCCAACAAAACTATAAAGTGCTGATTGAAAAATGCTTACACGGTAACACCAAAATTCAACAGCTCATAAGCGGTATATTCAAGTTGACAAGCAGAGAGATTAGCTCTCTTTCTATCATTAAAAGGAACTAAGTTAGAGTTAACTAGTTAACTGCAGTCAGAGTTAACCAGGTGACTAAGGTCTTTTAAGAAGAGATTGGACAAGCATTTGTCTGAAATGTGTAGGGTTTCCTGCTTGAGCAGGAGATTGGACTAGAAGACTTCCAAGGTCCCTTCCGACTCTGTTATTCTGTTAGAATTGGATTTCAGCATCTTAACAGCTCAGCGTCTTTTCATGTTATTCTGTTATTCTCTTAAAGCAGACTATTCAACTTCTCAAGTTCAAACCCTTTTGGTTACAATTCTTTAAGAGGCACCACTAATTCCATCTCCCACCACTGAGTCAGGCAATAACAAGACTCCAACAGATTTCTGTTTTCTTTAGAATAACCACATTTATCCTTTTATCTCTGGAGGGGGAATATAAACCTAACTTTTTCTTCTGTTTTTCCTTCCCTTTCTCCCTGTTGATTTACCTTCCTTCCTGGTGAGACTAAAGCCATTAAATCAAACCTGTCCATTCTCCCTCTCAACTGTTATGACTAAAGAGTGGGGGATTTTCTGTTCACTGTTAAAGAAAGGCTCATAAAATCTCCTTCAAAACCTCTAGAGGCAATTTCCCATGTCCTGACATCAAACAATTCTTAAAATGGAGCCTATATCTTCTTGATATCTATAGCTGCAATTCTTTGCATATTTTCCGTGGAATAAATCTCTCTCAACCCACTGGAACAAACTAAAATAAAAGTCTCTTGAATCGACTGAAATCTTTATTAGAGTGCCATAAATGGATTCAGACTTATTTGCCGAGTCATTTAAATCAGGGGTCTCCAACCTTGGCAACTTTAAGACTTGTGGACTTCAACTCCCAGAATTCTCAAGGCAGCAAAGCTGGCTGAGGAACTCTGAGAGTTGAAGTCCACAAGTCTTAAAGTTGCCAAGGTTGGAGACCCCTGGTTTAAATCATCGTTTGCTGAACAATCCAAATGACTGCTAAACTTAGCAACATTTTCAGGACTCAGGAGATCTCCCACTCTGTACACAAGATCTGGTATAGAGAGATGTGGGGTTTAGAGTGGGATGAGACACAGCAACAGCAAGCCAATCAGTATTGTGGCTTAAAAAACTGGACTAGGAACAGGGAGAACCAGCTTCTAGTTCTTCCTTCAACATCCAACCAGATGGATCACTTGGGGCCAACAACTTTCTCCCAAGTCCTAGAGAGGTCAAAAAACATATTTCTACCAACCTGCACTGCACCGATAGAAAATGGTCCATAACCTTCAATGGGATTGTCCCTCAGTGGATTAATATGGGCTGAGAATAAAAATACGCATATGCCCTCACCAACTTTAAGTTTGAACATACAATATACATGGAGAGAGAGAGAGAGAGACACACACACACACACACACACACACGTGTGTAATTTCAACATTTTCCTTTTTACCTGTTTTGTTTTTGGGTTTTTTTTAATTCAACAAATTTAAGTCTCTCTCAAGTCAGGCTCCCTCCTGATGACTGTTCTGAATTTGACAATCATTCAGAAACCAGTCTTCCCATCTGTTCTTCTTCTCAGATGTTTTTTGGACCGGATTCCTCACACAACAAACCATTTTTTTTTTTGCAGCAGCAGCAGCAGCAGCCCAGGTTCGAATCCAAGTAAGGGTAAGGCTGGCTGATGAGAGCTAAGAAGCTTGAAATAGATCTATACCAGTCTCCCTTTATTTCTTTATCAGTAAAATATATTTGGTATATATATATATATATATATAGGTTTTACCTACGTAAGCTAAGATGTTCTACAGCCCTGGTTCTGTGAAATCTCATTCACAAGTTTCTGGGCTTTTTGTTTCTTGCTGACAAACAGCAACTCTGTGCTGCTCTTTGGGAGAGCACAACATATATATATATATGGTGAGAGAGTTCACTGAGTGCCATCTTGCACAATGAACCCATCAGGTCCATAAAATTTAGTTCAAACATCCACCCACTCAGACATGCCCAATAATAATTGCATGAAGGAGAGATGAGGGATGAAGGTATTGTTTCTACTCCGTCTGTTGGACCTTGCCCTCTGTACATGAAAGGAAACCTCTGTAACAAATTCATTTTCACTTGGCTCATTTGGCCTACCCCAGTGATGGCGAACCTTTTCGGCACCGAGTGCCCAAACTGGAACGTGCGCACAAGGGCGCTGAAGCACCGGAAACCCAGAGACCAGCTGGCCGGTGTGCACATGCATGCACTGGAAACCAGAAAAACAGCTGGCGATGGCGCGCGTGTCCACAGAGAGGACTCTGCGTGCCACCTCTGGCACGCATGCCGTAGGGTCGCCATCCCTGGCCTATCCGATCAACTGAAAGTCTTGATTTTTCAGACTCTTCTAACCCACATGTTGGGAGACCTTGAGGGCAAATCGACATGTAGATGCTGAATGTAGATGTAGAAGGAATGCATTTTTATCTGTTTTCCCATTCAAATGATTGTAATATTATGTGATAGATAGGATTTTAACCAACCATTGGTGTTTTGATTTCTTTCATTTTGTTTTGAACAGCTAATTCTTTTTTTCTTCCCTCAAGTTTAGGAATGTTAATAAGTTACAGGTCGTCCTCCACTTACAACAGTTCGTTTAGTGCCTTGTCAAAGTTACAACTGGGAAAAGGGATTTGGATCGTTTTTCACACTAACAACCATGGCAGCATCCTCGGGGGGGGGGGGTCACACGATCAAACTTCAGATGCTTGGCAACTGACATGTACTTATACCGGCTGCAGTGTCCCCCCAGGGTCATGGAATCCCCTTCTGCAACCTTCTGACAAGCAAAGGCCATGGGGAAGCCAGATTCACTTAACAACCAGGTCACTAACTTAATAACCGCAGTGATTCAGTTCACAAGGTTGGCAAGAAAAGTCGTAAAATGGGGCAAAACTACCTTAACAACTGTCGTTTAGCAACAGAAATCTGGGGCTCAATTGTGGTCGTAAATCAAGGACTAACCTGTACTTTCCAAAAGTCTGAACATGCTGTATCTGTAAAAAGGTTTGGATACGTCAAATCTGAACTGTTATTTTTTTTTCCTTTTTAAGTGATTCTGATATATTACTAGAAGGAGACATCAAAGCATAACTTAATGAAATTTGTGAGCTCTCCAACTTTTGTAGCAATGAAGAGGCAGTATTGGACAATATGATTCTGGATGCTCCAGGTTTAACAGGAAGTTTAAAAACGAACCTGTAACAATTTGAATAAACACCATACAATACTATTACTTTGACATAATAGAAAAGTACTAAGTTTTCACAATGTTTAGTGTTTTTTTAAATATTTTTTCATTCTTTTTTTCTTTTGTGCTGTTTAATTTTTTTTTAAAGATATATATAATTTACTCAAAAAGGCTGAAATGAAATGTATTGATTTGGTTCTTAACCATTATTACTTCTATTATTACTAGTACTACTACTATAATTAACTGTATTGGTTTGAAAATTCAATAACAATTGCTATTGTTCAAAAAACAACACTCCTTTTTTTTTTTTCCTCTTCCATGGCTTTGATAAACTTTTAGATGCTGGAATCTGCACCACTGATATTTTTTTAAAACTTTCTCTCCTTTTTTAAAAGCGAAACAGAATTCCCAGCTTTTCTCCATATGTATTTGTCAGGAGCGTGTTAATGTACAACTCTACATCCTTCCTACTTTCTTCTTACAACCATAAATAATATGATCACAGCTTCTGGTCATTGCATTCTACTCAAGGTGCATGTGTACAACATTCAGTTAATGCAACAGGAATTATCAATTACCAAGAGCAACAAGCATCTTGTAACAACATTCTATCACTGACATAATTACAGCACATTTATCATTCATATGTCTTTTTTTTTCCCAAACAATTACTACAGATTTGTTATTCTAACTTCACCTTCCAATAGGTTAAAACACTGGTCTTTCCATTGTTTGATTTTATTGCATGGTATCCAACATTCCAATTATCTGGTTCATTTACTGTTTTTATTCTCGTTCTTTGTTCAGACTGGGGTTTATAACGTCCTTATAACTCTTTGGGGTCAGCACGGGTCACCTCTCCTACTTCGTTATGAAATATGAACTTGCCCAACAAACTTGACAGAAACATTTCTTTTGTATGCTCGCTGTTTACTCTACAACTTACTGCTTCAAAAGAATCAGGATTCTCCCCCACTCAAGTTCTCTATATACTTATTTCATTTTTTTTTAAATCCATCTATTTACAGAGTCCCATGGAATCAAAGAACTAGGCTCACGTCATTCTACTCTTCCCCAATAAACCTCCCACCAGTCCCCTACCAATGAAGAAATGACCACACCATTCATCAAGATGTGTGAAATATGATCTATTTCCTACATGATTTTAGAAGATAGCTTGACTTTCTTTAAAAAAAAAAATTGGGTATTGCCATCTCCTCCTCACGATCAATATCTTAGAAAAAAATGCTCTTCGGCCTCTTGCCTAGACTTGGAATACTGTGCTAATCAAGGTTTAACGTCACAGTGGATCCCAATAAATCTGGGCACAAGCTTCGGTTGGAAACCAAGGCAAGCTTAGGCTGGGTTTGCAAACGGGAAAGGTAGCATCTGAGGTCTTTTGGCTGTTGAACAGGGATGAGATGAAGGGAGAAAGGAAGCAAGACACGAGTGTTAAGGAGTGCCCCCTGAAGACCAGGTGATATCTTCAAAGAAGCAATCCCAAGGGTCAACTCCAGCACAGTTGCTCAGTCGGAAGAGGCGATGGCTCGTGAGCAGCCCGGTCGATCAAATATTGCATCTTCTAGCACGTGACGTTAAACCCTCATCTTGAAGAGTATCAGAAAGTATTGACAACCAAAAGTGTCCACTTAATTTTTTAAAAAGATCAGTGCTCTAGTCCTGAGTTAGGTATGAGTCCAGGACTTCCTGTTAATTCCAGAAGATCTTCCAGGAGAACAGCCGAAAAGGTCTACCTCTTGGGTCCCCCACATCGGCACTCCTTTCAGGATCTCCTGTGCTACTATGTGAGTCAGCTCTGTTGCCTTGTAAAAATGTGCAACCCTTTTTAAAATGGTTGGTTTCTTCAATCTTTCAGGTTAAACTTGATGAGACTCGATTAGAAAGAGACGGGTTGAATTAGAGATGGGTTTGTGTTGTTGTTGTTGTTGTTGTTGTTAAAAAAGGACAGCATTGAGACCGAAAAAGAGATAGCGAGGCACTCGAGGTTCCAGTCTATGCATAAAATTCCTCCTGCTTGTCAGGTTTTTGGTATGTGACACTTGCCTGCTTGGGCTCTTCCAGCGTGTAGCTTCCTTCGTCTTTCTTCTTCATCCGGTAGATCAAGAGCATCACCAGGAAGCTGCGAAGAGGGCCCCAACGACCCCTCCCACAATCACAGCTGCAAAGGGACAACAGAGGAAAGTTAGCGAGATTTGTATCTGCTTACCTTTTGTATAAAAACAATTTTTTTAAAAAAATAATAATTTTAATAATAGTAAAAGCCTGAGGAAGTAGGGAGGAATGGGCAGGTGAAGGGAGGGAGGGAGGACAGGTGAGTGGATGGATGGATGGATGGATGGATGGATGGATGGATGGACAGGGGGTGGGTGGGGTGTGGATGATGGATGGATATCAGGAGGGTCTACAGAGGAAGAAAAAAATAATTGAATATTAAAAGCTTGAGGAAGCAGGGAGGAATGGGTGGATGGAGGATGGATGGTTGGGTGGGTGGGTGGGTGAGTGGGTGGTGGATGAACAGGTGGGTGGATGGATAGACAGATGGATGGATGGATGGATGGATATCAGGAATGTCTACAGAGGAAGAAAAAACAATTGAATATTAAAAGCCTAAGGAAATAGGGAGAATGGGCAAGTAGGTGGATGGATGGATGGATGGGTGTGTGGGTGGATAGTGTGTGGGTGTGTGAGTGGAAAGATAGATGGACAGATGGATATCAGGAATATCTACAGAGGTAGAAAAAAATAACTGAATATTAAAAGCCTGAGGAAGTAGGGAAGAATGAGCAAGTAGGTGGATGGATGGATGGATGGATGGAACAATGGATGGACGGACATATGGATATCAGGAATGTCTACAGAGGAAGAAAACATAACTGAATATTAAAAGCCTGAGGAAGTAGGGAAGAATGGGCAAGTAGGTGGATGGATGGATGAATGGATGGACGGACAGGTGGACAGTGGACCGATGGACAGATGGATATCAGGAATGTCTACAGAGGTAGAAAAAAATAATTGAATATTAAAAGCCTGAGGAAGTAGGGAAGAATGGGCAAGTAGATGGATGGATGGATGGATGGATGGTGGATGGATGGATGGATGGATGGACAGATGGATATCAGAATGTCTATAGAGGAAGAAAAAAATAATTGAATATTAAAAGCCTGAGGAAGTAGGGAAGAATGAGCAGGTAGATGGATGGATGGACGGACAGGTGGCTGGATGGAGCGTCTACAGAGGAAGAAGCAAAATAGTCAAGAGTGTGGCTGCAACTGCACTACTGAAGCCTCATCTCCTTTTTAACATGTCGCATGCATAGAAATGGAGTGAATCTTTGATTGTATGGCTGTGCACACATCTTGACTTTTTTTCATCATCCTACCCCCAACCGCAGCTACCTCTGATGTATTATATATTTCACTGGTTCTAAAGAAGGGGTTTCATGCTCCCAAAACTGTTAGCTTTATGTTTCAAAACATGAAGCTTTGAAAAACTGGTTTTCTCCCAAGGGACTGGATCAGAGCATTGGATAGCCAGTGCTGTAAGGATAGCCAGTTATGAGAATGATTGTGGTTGGCTTTGGATGTATATAAGAACATAAGCAGGGGGGCTCTGCTGGATTGGACCCCTGACGCATTCTAGTCTAGCAGCCTTTTGAAAGTTGAAATTTGGAATTTATTTCTATTTATTTATGGTCAGTGACCAGAGAAGTCGCTGCAACAATAAAAACAGCGCATAAAAGCAGGCTCAGATACAATAAGAGCAAAGTGCTGCACAATAAATCAAGCATAGCAGGGGGAGAACTGTAAGGAAACTCTGTTTTAAAAACCAGCAGGAGAAAAACAAAAGGGAAAAGGCCATAAAAAAAAAAAAAGGACTGTGGAAAGTTTGGTTTAGAAGGCCGTTTGGAGAGCAAGACTCTGAATCAAATCTAGCTTTTGAAACGAATCACATATCATCACATCGCTGAACTGAATGCCTCAAAACTGATCATGAATCAATTTGACGTGAGATATTTATGCTAAACATTATGCACACGTAGGGAAATTACAAAGAAATGCTTTGAGTTAGGGAAAGTTGAAAACGGAAAGTGAATGTGGATTTTTACAGTCTATTTTTTTAAAAAAAAAACCCACTAGAAAGTTTAGAGCACGTTTAGGTATATGAACTTTTCTCTTTAACTGTTATGTTTCTCCTTCCAGTTTCTAAGTGTCTTCTTTAACATTTATTGAGATTAAAGGGATGGGAAGTGGTTATCAAAATTCTAGCCATGGAACCAGGGGTGAAATTCAGCAGCTTCTGACAGGTTCTGGAGAACCGGTAGTGGAAATTTTGAGTAGTTCGGAGAACCGGCAAATACCACCTTTGGCTGGCCCCAGAGTGGGGAGGGAATGGAGATTTTGCGGCATCCTTCCCCTCCATGCCCACCAACCCATGCCCACAGAACCGGTAGTTAAAAAAAATTGAATTCACCACTGCATGGAACTATTTCCTGTTAAGAACCATTGTATACCCACATGTGTTAGGCTGGAGACTTTTTCTCTCTTTGTGAGGCAGCCACAGATAAGAGGAGCTCAATCTATTTTCCAAAACATCAGAAGGTAGGACAAGAAGCAATGGATGGAAACTAATCAAGGAGAGAAGCAACCATAGAACTAAGGAGAAATTTCCTGACAGTGAGAACAAGAAACCAATGAAAGGGTTTGCTTTCAGAAGTTGTGGGTGCTGCATCACTGGAGGCTTTTAAAAAGACACTGGACAGACATTTGTGTGAAATGGTATCGGGTCTTCTGCTTCAGCAGGGGGCTGGACTAGAAGACCTCCAAGGTCCTTCCAACTCTGTTATTCTGTGTATTCTTTCTAACAGCCTTCCAGTGATCCAGCGACGTGGTGAGTCTTTTCATGGATAATGGAGAAGCTTGTACTCTCTGTTGTAGCTCTCCATACAACGTCTCTTGAATCTTGATCAATCTGGCAACTAAGCAATGTAATACAGTAAATTTCTCAAGGCAACATTTTGCTTTTAGACAGGGGTCAGCAACCCGCAGCTCTGGAGCTGCATGTGGCTCTTTCATCCCTCTGCTGTGGCTCCTTGTCGCCGGTCAGCTCCACAATTGATAGGGCTTTCAGTCAGGATAGGTGGAGGAAAAAGGACGCCATGCTAGGAGGAAACTCTATGGTGGGGGAACCGGACTTCTGGTCAGCAGAGGAAAAAGGACACCGTGCTAGGAGGGGACTCAATGGTGGGGGAACCGGACTTCCGGGCGGCTCCAGAATTGAACAGGGGGCTCCCAGTTAGGACCTTTGTGGCTCTTTGAGTGTTTAAGGTTGCCGACCCCTGCTTTTAGCACTCTGGAAAGCCGCATCATGTGCTCTGATGCAAGGAAACCAAAGACCCTCATTCCATTCCCTCTTTCACACATGCCTTTGGAGCCAGATTGGCAATCTGTAATACATCTTACCTATGAGCACTTCTTTCCTTTCCAATATGTTTTTCTGGGGGAGTTGTGCTGCTGAATTTCCAGACTCTATTGTATTGTCCAGGAGCCCTGGTTCCATTTTCTTTTTCAACCCTGGCCCAGTTGCAGGGGTGACCAGAGGCACCACTTCATTGCCAAGCTCGGTCGGAGCAACCTCTTCCTCCTCGTGGATTTCGAAGTCCCCACTGATGGGAACTTCAAATTCATTCATTGTAACTGTTGAAAGGGTCGTTTCCATGGGTTCCGCCTGGAAGAGAAAGAAAAGAAAATACAGAAAGGAAGGAAAATGAAATAATGCATGTCTCTCCAGCACTCAGCCAGGTTGATGAGCAAGGTGTTACCTGCCCACAACCTGGATTGGCCTGAGATATAGGATGACAGACATAGATGACCCGCAGCTTAAAAGCTGGAATGGATTGCCCACCGAGCAATCCATCGGGAATGGATTCATCTCGGTGAATTGATCCATCTCGGTGGGCAATCCTCTGGAATGGATTGCCCACCGAGCTCAGGAGAGCCCCCGACCTCCTTTCCTTCCGTCACGAGCTGAAGACGTGGCTCTTCCGTCAACTCAACTGATCCATTGGGTGTACACTGTTATAATTTTAAACTGTTTTAATGGGGTGTTGATTTTAATTTTATTTCGTTGTGATTTGTATTGGAAATTGTCATTTTGTAAGCCGCCTTGAGTCCCTCGGGAGAAAGGCGGCATATACTGTAAATCGCAAAAATAAATAAATAAATAAATAAATAAATAAATAAATAAATAAATAAATAAATAAATAAATAAATAAATAAATAAATGGACCTGTCTAGAGCAGGGGTCTCCAACCTTGGCAACTTTAAGAGTTGTGGACTTCAGCTCCCAGAATTCCCAGAAGCTTTGCTGGCTGAGGAATTCTGGGAGTTGAAGTCCACAACTCTTAAAGTTGCCAAGGTTGGAGACCCCCTGCTCTAGAGCATCCAGGAGTAGGTGGAACAAATGTTTCAACCCCAGGCTGTTTCACCTCTTTTGTGGATGAAAAAGAAGCCTTGACCCATCTCCCCTTAAAATCTCAAAATGAGCATTGTTAATGACTGTTAAGCATTCATCATTTTCATAGGAAGCTATGGGAAGGGGGGAAAAGAGGCGAAATAAAAAAAATGTTGTATCCAAGGAAAAAGAAGATATTCCTCCTTCTGCCATGAGCCTAAATGATCTTTAATTTGGTTATTCTTCTCCTCTCCTTCGTCCCTTCTCCCTCCCTCCCTCCGTCTTTCTCTCCCCCCCTCTCTCTCCCTCCTCCCCTCCTCTCTCTCCTGAGCTCTGCTGTGTTTAGGGACCAGCCAGGAGGGGGAGTAAGAGATTCATCCTTTTTGAGCTAGACGACCCCCCCACCACCACTTCCCCACCCGTATTTAGTCATGCCTGTCACAAATTGAGTCTTCAAGATGCAAAAAAGCAAAAGAAAAAAAGAATAGTCTCCTGTGAGTTTGTTTGGGAAAACAGGAGGAGGTGGATGCCTAGATCAGCAGATTGAAATGTCCAGTGGATAAGAAGAAGGAATCTGCTTGGATGGCAGCTTTAGGGTAGAAGATATTATACATAAAAGAGCAAATGTGGGCAAACCCTACCTTGAAACACTCAAAGGGAGAGAGCCAGAGTTATTCCAAACTGAGTGTGAACTTCGTGTCCCAAAATTCTCAGCAATGATGGCTACAGAATTTTGGGGAGTTCCAGTTTGCACATCTGGAATATGCTCAATTTGGAGGTGACTGATGTAAAGGAATGAGATGAATCAAAACATGAATAGGTAATATAACAATGTCTTTTCATAATGATGCAAAATGGTTTATTCTGTCTCTGTGTTCCTGGTACCAGCCTGGGCAACCTTTGTACTGCCCAAAATGAATGAATGAATAGAATGAATGAATGAGAGAAAGAAAGAAGGAAGGAAGGAAAGGAAGGAAAGAAGGAAAGAAAGAAAGAAAAAAGAAAGAAAGAGAAAGAAAGAAAGAAAGAAAGAAAGAAAGAAAGAAAGAAAGAAAGAAAGAAAGAAAGAAAGAAAGAAAAAGACAACAAGGAAGAGAAAGCTTTTAAAAGAGGGTGCTAAATGAATGTTTAAATGCACAAATTTCTCAGGTACATTGATGAAAAAGGAGAAAAACTCCTCTGGAATCACAGCCAGCCATATATGAAAGCCAGGATGATAGAAATAATAATATGATAATAATAGGTCCTTAAAGATAAAGGTAAAGGTAAAGGTTCCCCTCGCACATATGTGCTAGTCGTTCCCGACTTTAGGGGGCGGTGCTCATCTCCGTTTCAAAACAGAAGAGCCAGCGCTGTCCGAAGACGTCTCCGTGGTCATGTGACCGGTCATGACTCAACACCAAAGGCGCACGGAACGCTGTTCCCTTCCCACCAAAGGTGGTCCCTATTTTTCTACTTGCATTTTTTACGTGCTTTCGAACTGCTAGGTTGGCAGAAGCTGGGACAAGGAACGGGAGCTCACCCTGTTACGCAGCACTAAGGATTCGAACCACTGAACTGCCAGCCTTTCAATCGACAAGCTCAGCATCTTAGCCACTGAGCCACCGCGTCCCTTATAATAGGTCCTTAGGGAGGACAAAATAAGTGGACAACAATGCCGTTTCCAATCTAAATATCTGGCCAACTTTGAAACCAGCCAAAGTCAGAAAAAAAGGGGGCATTAGAAGAATTCCTGTAGGGCATCCACGAAGAGGCACTGAAGCTAGTACACCATGAAGGTTTACCGAATACCAAAGAGACCGAACTGATCTATAACAAACAGCAAATGAAGAAAAGAAGAGGAGAAGCCAAGTGCAGGGAAGCTGAAGAAAAGAGACACAGGGGTTAATTCTGGCTGCAAGAGACCAAGCCTTATGAACAAATCCATAGAAAGTCAGAACTGAGAAGATAGGAACAGATAGCAAAAACGCCATCTATGCAAAGAAATTGAAGAAACAGTGAACTGCCTAGTTAGCGGCTGCAAGAAGATCCCGCAGACAGATTACGAACAATGGCATAAAAATATGGCATTCTGGGGACTTTAGAATTCAAACAGACAAGGATCTGCCCCCACGACATTCCAGAAATGAGAGAAAAGACTTCGAGGAACAAGTTCAAAGAGTGTCCCAAAGGTGCTTTATCAAAAGGCAGCTGGGTCTTTTTTCCTTGCAAACATTTCGCTTCTCATCCAAGAGGCTTCGTAAATTCAGTCAGAACGGAAGAGGCTTCTCGGAGGAGAAATGAAACATTTTCAAAGAAAAAAAAAAATCAGGGAAGTCCAGGATGACTGAGACTCTCCACAGATATTAAGCCAGAGGGAGTAAACCAGTGGTGGGTTGCCCCTGGTTCAGACCGGTTCTATAGAACCGGTAGTAAGAAAACCGGAGGGATGCTCCGCCCACCAACTCTGACATCCTCAGAACACTTCTCGCATGCGCAGAAGCTTCTGTGCATTCGCAGAAGAGCTCATGTGTGTGCGGTCCCGTTGCAAACCGGTAGTAAAGGTAAGTAGAACTCACCCCTGGAGTAAACCCAGCTCCGATTTATCCTTGGCTTGGCACTTGGTTAGCACTTGCTCTTGGTCCTTGTACTTCATCCTCCACCTCAACCTATTCCCACCTACACACAGCTGGTCCCTGCTTTTTAATACGTTAACAATGGTGAAGAAATGCTACCGTTCCCTTTTCTTCTTTTTTCTATTCTCCAAAGAGACGATAGAGCGGGATCACATTTCCCAACAACACCTGTCATATTTGCAACCACCAGACTGTTTAAAAAGGATGCCGTATATGGCTGTGATTGAAACAATTCATTCAGGGATGTGCCACGTCTGTTGGCCGATGTGATTTGTTTTTCCCCTCCTCTTTGTCTTCCTCTTAGAAAATGTCATAGCCACAATGTGTAATTGATTCAGGAATTGATTCTCCCATAAGGAAAGGCAACGATAGCCTCCTTGGAGGAACTCTGGAGCTGACATCAGGGCTCCTTGAAGGGCTGTGAGATTGGCTAACTAAAGTTTTGGGTAATACACTTTCCGAGCTAAAAGTTCAGCATCTCTGTTCTACAGTGGTGGGTTTCAAAAAATTTTACTACCAGTTCCGTGGGTGTGGCTTGGTGGGCATGGCTTGGTGGGCGTGGCAGGAGAAGGATACTGTAAAATCTCCATTCCCTCCCCACTCTAGGGGAAGGTTACTGCAAAATCCCCATTTCCTCCTGATCAGCTGGGACTCAGGAAGCAGAGAATAGATGGGGGCGGGGCCAGTCAGAATTTTTACTACCGGTTCTCCGAACTATTCAAAATTTCCGCTACCGGTTCTCCAGAACTGGTCAGAACCTCCTGAAACCCACCTCTGCTCTTCTATTGATACAAGGGTCTTAGAAGTGTTTCATCTCAATGGCTGGGTCTGGAAGCCCCCACTTTCATTTCCCACAATGTTCTTCATGTGGATCACACAGAGGAATCTACATTTTATTTTATTTTTTTCTCATTCATAAAGGAGAATATTTGTAGCTTAGCTTTGAAATAAGGGGTCTACTTGGTCCTCTCTGAGCTCGGCAGTTTTCTTGCAAGTGTTTTCATTGCCCAAAGTATGTAACACAGAGGTGGGTTTTGCATAATTTTACTACTGGTTCGCCGTGCACCAAAAATGTGATTGTGCGTTCCTCCTGCGCATGTGCACGGCCTTCCGTGCATGCGCTTTGCACAAGCGCGCAGCTTGCACTCATGCACACAGCTTAGAAAACATGGCTAAATAGGATGGCATAGCACCGAGGCGGGTAGGCGGCCCCACCCGCAAGTCGCCATTACAGGTTCACGCGAACCGGACCGAACCGGCTGAATACCACCATTGATGTAACATCTTCAGTACTAGTCTAACACTGATCATGTTAGCTTATTTGAGTAATGAAACATCTGCAAGAAAACTACCAAGCTCAGCGAGCACCAGGGACCCTTTATTCTCCTCATTGTTTTCGCTTGCTTCAAGTAGGACCACCTTCAGATATCTGAGATTGCCCTCAACAGAATGGACTGGAGGATCCAAAGATAAATAGGTTGCTATATCATCTGAAATAACAGCTGAAGTGAACTCGAACCTGGGTCTTCACAGTTCTGGGCTAATGCCTTCGTTAAGCGTTTCACCAACATTCCCCATTGAATCACAATGACCTAATAGATCTTGATAAATGTATCAACACAGCATTTCATTTAGGCACCTCTTGGTTTCCCAAACTTT